GGAGCATAGTAGGTGTGCTTTTTTGTTCCGGAGTGTTCCTAGTCTCCGTGTCTGTCGGAACATTTCCCATTCCCAGTCTCCGTGTCTGTCGGAACGTTTCCCGTGCTCCTGCACTCTGAAGATGCCGGTCACAGGAGCTGGCGAAATGTTAGGAAACAAAACTTCAAGACCACGGCCACACAGCCCGGAAGACCCACACCAGCCTTCATTCAAAGACTTTGACAAAACTGGCATTTTCCCCGGTTCTTATACTAATCCTAGGCAGGCATCCAAATGAACAATGGGAAACGTGCAATTTTCTTCTTGCACCAAAGGGAGAATATGTTTTCTTGAAGGAAGAGATTAATCAGTTACAGATTCTGTAGTTGATTAACAGTCCTAATAAAAACAGGCAATTTTGTTGACAAGATCCTTATTCATCCATCAGTGATATTAGATGAATTCTTGGCAAGAGGCAGGGCTGGTAAAAACAACATTTTCTTAATGTCTGTTGTCCTTGTTCAAACAAAAACATAATGCAATAACTACAGTTCCTGGCTACAATCCTGAGCTGAAATTGAGCCCCTCACCCATGTCCTTACAAGCTGATGTTTGTTGGTGGAAGCAGGCCTGGGTGAAGTTGTGATGAGATGATGGAGACATTTTACTGCCCTTGTGGTGCTAGCTGGGTGCTGCTATTAAGCAATAATGACACAGGTAGGCTTTCCTGTTTGTTTATTTTTATGTATTTAATAAATTTATATGGCTGCCCATCTCATATACATGACCCTGGGTGGCTAACAATTAAAACAGAATAAAAACAGGATTAAACAACCAAAATTTAAAAAAAAAACATCAAGAGCATAGAATAACTGCAGAGAACATTCACAAGGTTCCACATTCAAATCAACCATGAAATGGACTCACCATTACTGCCAGGGCCCCAGGCTAGATGGCAAAGCCAGGTTTTTAATGCCTTGCAAAAGGCCAGCAGAGTTGGGGCAAGTCTAATCTCAGGGGGATGATATTCCAGAGGATGGGCACCACAGCAGAAAAGGCTCTGTTCTTGGGTCCTGCCAGATTGAATTCTCTAGTAGATGAGACCCGGGCCATGCCTGTCCTGCTGGATCTAACAGGACAAATAGACACTGCTGGGGAAAGATGGTCCCATAACTAACCCAGCCCCAAGCTTTAAGGGGCTTTAAAGGTAACCACCAGCACCTTGAATTGCACCTGGAAACATACTGGTAGCCAGTGCAGCTTGCAGAGCAGAGGTATCACATGTGCCAAATGACCGGCACCCATAACTACTCACGCCACCGCATTTTGTACCAGCTGAAGCTTCCAAATATTGTTCAAGGACAGCTCCATGTACAGCACATTGCAGTAATCCAGTTGTTGCTGTTACTGTTGTTCTTAATGTTATTATTTCAGTTTGTACTCATCCCTTTGTATCCATAGGGCTATCTGTCTAAAATGAATTATAAGCAATTAAAGAACATATTTACATATATCCATACCCATTACACTGTTCACTTTCAGGGTAAACAATTATACAAATCACAGAAAGGGAACAAAAAATTGAGAGAGAGAGAAAAAGAAAAGACATGGTAATACTCATACCAACATCATTCACTATACCCCTCCATACCTTTCTATTCTTGCAAACCATCCTTGCTTCCACCATGTTCACACACTGCTTTATATATGCCTTTCGGCTTTTAAACTTCTTGCCTCTATTTTTTTAGAGGATCTCATTAATGCATCCAAAGACAATCTTCTCCTTCTACACTCTTCCTTCATGAACTGGTTTTACAGTTCTAGCCTCATATATCCTTTCTGTATAACGAAACCATCAAAATCTAGTTCTTTCATGCTGGTCACTCACTTTTGTATTCAATCCACATTGCTTCAGTGCTCATTTCTATTTTGACTCTTTTCTCTTCTTGTGTTACATGATGTTTCTTAAATATCTCATTCCCATTGCGTTGCAGCAGTCTGTCAGTGTGATTAATCAATCAATCAATCAATCAGTTTGTCACCTCTTCTATCCTTTTGATCAGAATTCCATAAAACACCTTCCCAGGCGCACATTGCAAAACAACCCCCCTCCTGTAATTTTTGCATCCTACTTTGTGCTTTGAATAGAATATTGACATTCTTCCAATTGTCAGGTTTAGACGCAGTTCAGAGTATAAACACATGTAAAGCAAGTTGCAAAGCTACTTCAGAAGCATTTCAAATGTGTATTTCAGCATTTCTTCAGTTATGCCATCTATACCTGCAGCTGTACCATTTTTCAATATTGTCACAACATTTATGGCTTTCTTTTAATCCATTTTTTCTTGGACACTAAAATTCACAGCATTCACTTCAGTTCTACTCTTCAACATATCTCTATCATTCCCATAGAAATATCAAAACTACCCCTTCTAGTAGCGGCCCTAATTGGAATGATGCATATACTACAGCATAGTTATCTCTAATTTAGAACTCTGCAGTTACAATTAACTATGTCTCCCAGGATTTCCAGCCAGCAAAGACCATCCATGGATTTGATTTCCCAGCAAGTATGGGCAGCACAAGGTTCGGCAGTGGTGCTCAGTGACAGCCAAGGAGTGGGGAGTGTCTTATATTTTTTTCTCCTGATTATAATTGTAATTAGTTGATTAATATTAGTTGTTTGGATTATTTTTTATGTATTTGATTTTGGTCTTCGGTGCATGCTATTAATTCTGTGTTATTGCTGCTGCTGTTTGTTTTGTGTACAGAATGGAGAACTCATAGTAGGAGGACCTGGCAGTTTTTACTGGCAAGGTATGCTCATCTTTTTCATTTGCAAAAAATGCTCTGAAAATGGAAGTGAAATATTAGCAGAACCTGTCATGCAATATCTGTCATACTTTCTGGAGAATAATCCCCCCCCCCAACATGTGACTTATAAAGGACTACAAGTTTTGGTCCATTCTTCTGTATCTCTGTAAATTGACATGATCTGTATTGCATTCAGAATTATACTCTGAATTATACTCTGAACTTCTTGGAACATTTTATGTTCTATTCTATAAGAGTAAAGGGCCTGGAAAAAGATTGTACTTTCTTCTGCTACTGTGCTGTAGACAAGATAAATCACACCAACTGTTTGCAAATGACCACTCTCAATAGGTAATTATCATTTTCTGTAATTCCTTTCTTTTATGTACTTCTGATGTTACTGTTTGCAATTCTACCCCGCTCTGCTAGCCGTGGGTATAGTTAAGACATAGAAACTGTCCTAAATCAAACTGTTTGGTCCAACTATCTTAGACTGTTGACACTGCATATAAATTGCCTTCCAGGACTTCAGACTAGAACTTTGCCAGCTCTTCCTAGCTATGCTAGAGATTGAGCTCAGACTTTTGGTATTGTTTGAAAGTTCCTACATTCTTCAGACTTGCAAACAAATGTATTATCTTATGCTCCTATGCACCTTTTCATGCTATACTCATGTATTTTGAGATTCAAGTTATACCAAGATAACGTAGGTGCCTTTTAGGACAGGAGTTGCTACACTTTCCAACTTCAGTTCTTGTCATCTCCATTCAACATGTTCCATCCTTCTTTACTCCTTTTATTTTCCAACATCTGTAGAAGTAGATACATGCATACATACATTCCAATCATGCTGTTCCTTTCTGGGGTAAACATTATTCTGTAGAATGCAGAAAAGAAGTATGAACCAGTAAGTATGAACCAGTAAGCCAAAAAATTAAAAAGAAGAAAGAAGAAATATAGCTAAATTGAGTTTACACAGCACCACTCACTCCTTACCTTTCTATCCTTACAAACCATCCTTGCTTTCACTACATTCACTGCTTCATGCATTGTCCTTTCTTCTGTAAATTTCTCACCTCTCTCTTTCTGAGGATGTTATCATCTCAACATAACTTCAGTGTTCTCAGCAGACTCATCCTTTCTCTTGACCCATTCATTCTTCCTTCACATATTTCTTTTACTATTCACTCCTAATTCATTCTATCCGTATGGCCAAACAATCTCTCTGTAATTGTTTCATATTGGCTCCTTGGTATTGTATTCAGTCCACATTAATTTATTCTTGATCCTATCTCTTTTTGTTTTACCACCCACTGCATTCAGCTCTTTTATGGTTCTTCTGACATACCCAACTCTCAGTTCCCCAACTGAGTGGGCAGAATCACATTGTTATACCCAGCCATTTTTACTTCTTTTGACAAACATTCATTTTGTCAAACTCAAAACAAACTGCATACTACTTGCTACTTTTCTATCAACATTTGCACATCTTAACATTTTTCCATCCATTTTCTCATATTTGATGCCATATTGGTTGATATCAGTAATCCATGCTGCCAAGATACCTAAAGATAATTATATTATATAAGGAAAATGCATTACAGGCTGTGATGACTAAAAGACATACCTGATCATGCACCAAATTTTATTTATTATTTTGGTATTAAGAGACAAAGAGGCAAAAAGCAAGCAAGACAACAACTTTTAGAGGATAGGCCAGCTTAACATTTTGTGGGAGGAAGACAACGGTGGGCAGACCAATGATGTAAAAAGAGCAAGGCAGGATTTCTTTTTTTCATTAGTGTTTTGGGGGGAGAGGTGGGATTATTCTTTGTAAATTATTTATATTAAGCCTCTTTAAGAGTCACATCAGTTGGGGGGGGTCTTCTTTTCAAAGTGCAGGAAGTCAGGACTCTAATTTTTGCAGTTGTGGGAAGAAGAACTGGGGAAGGGGTACAAAATTGGGATGAGGTACATCTGGCCTTTGGGCATCAGGTTCCCCCTTCCCCCAAGGTATTGCCCTCTGGCTAATCCAGCTGCACACAGTCACTGTTTTCTAGGATTAATTGAAACAAGTAGCTTTTTCATTATTATCATTATTATTACTCATTTTATATATAATAATAATAATAATAATAATAATAATAATAATAATGAATTCATTATTCATTGTACAGTAGTGTCATTTTAAAAAGCAAAATACCAATATATTTCAATCTAGAATAGTGTTTGTGTCATGATATTAAAACACTGCCTCAGTTCCAAGGTGGCTGTTATTCAGCAGCTGCTGGAGAAAGATTCCTTATACATGCAGGATAAATTTAGGCATATGTGTAGAAAAATTCTTAGTACATTGTTCTTGCTATAATTACTATTGCTGATTGGTAGTTCACAGCATGTAGAAGATTAATTGGCAAGACTTAGTAGTGGAGACATCTTTGAGAGAATGGAGCTCATTAAAGTCTTTGAAGTTCAGAACAACATGGTGACACTGGCTTGGAGTTACATGGTTTGCCTAGAGCTGGATCTTGGATAGATGCCTACATTTTTGTTTTCTTAATTACATGAAATACACTGGTGTCTTATATTTTCAAGAAACTCTTTTTTCAGTAATGCATCTTTCCCCATCCAAGAGGATTACTGCATGTGTTGGATTACCAAAATCAGCGGTTGGTTGAACTTGCTGGCTCAAAATTCTGAAAGTTGTGTTCCAACATATTTGGGGAATTCTAAATAAGAGAAGACAGAAAAACTAAGATGAAACAATCAAACTGTATTTTTTAGTATATTCATATCCCACTTTCTACTCAGGATATCAAGGCAGCATATACTCCTTTCTTTAATATTTCCTACAAATTCCATCTCTCTTCTATTATAGCCATGTATAAGCTGCTTAGCAAAAACGAAAAAAAAAACCCTTTAGTTTACTTCCCGCAGTTTTTGCAAAATTTTCCTATTCCCTCCATTCTTCTTTCTTCTCATGCTTACTTTTTTATTTAGACTATGAAGCTATCAGCAATTGTTTTGCATTTCCTTACAGTTCCTATCAATTAATATTAATTACTTCATAAAAATGGATGGTTTATTAACATAACTTTAATTGCTGCCTGTATTTCTCTAGTTGTCCTGCAGGATAACCTATTATGTTTCTGAATCACAGGACAGGTTATCACCAGCAGCATTGCAGAAATTATCACAGATTATTCATTCAAGAATATTCTAAGCAAACTCTTACAGGAAAAGCAAACTGGAGTGGCCCCATCTATATATGATGATAACTATTTGGGTAAGTTATGTGGTGATTTTGCTGATTGTGGAATTGATCTTGTTTAGAAATCTGATATAAGAAAATATTTGCTGTGATTAAGCAGGAGAGGCCCAGATCTATAAGACACTTATACAGATTCCCACTGTTATGAATATAAATCAAAATATTGCATTATCAACTCAACTTTTCTTATGAATATATGCTTCTGCAAACATGGAATGCTGCCTGTTCTTACTCCAACAATAACTGTCAGTTCAGTAAATATATATATTGAAAATGTAATGAAATTCTGATCATTCAAACACTTCATCAGAATATTTTTATACAGATGGTCCTCACCTAGCAACCACAATTGGGACTGGCAACTCCATTGCTAAGCACCACAGTCACTAAGTGGAAAATCACATTACCACAATGGGCTTACGACCTTATTTCCCATTTGGTTGTTAAGCAAAGCACCGCAGTCATTAAGCAAAACATCACATGACCATTACTTACTATTTTACTTCCACTTTCTCTAGTAACTCTGCTTGTCACAAACCAGTTGCAATCGTGTGACTGCGGGATACTGCGATGATCATAAATGTGAGGATTGGTTGCAAAGCTTTCTTTTTAACACCATCGTAACTTCAAACAGTTGCTAAACGAGGTAGACAGTAAGCGAGGACTACCTGTATACATATTTAAAAATCATGTTCGTTATAATCTGCAGCAGCTTTCCTGTAATTCATGAAAAGATTAATTCTAATAACTGTAACTTAACATTGAGATAAAGCTTTCTATTTCACTAGATGTGATGGAATGGCATGGGACTGGAAGGGGGGTAAAGAACGTGATCTCGTCTCCAGAGCAACGCGCTGGAGATAAGAGGCGAAAGCTGACGCACCCCTAACATTCCATTCAACATCTCCCGCTAATAACTTGAAGTCTGCAATAAACAATCTTACCGGTCTGCTGCTCTGCTTGAGTTTATGAATGTCCCAACAGGCAGTTAATTGCCTCACTGGGTCTCGAAAGTGCCCCCTGAAAGCTGCAACGAAATTCTGATAGTTGTTGAGCACTGGATCCCTTGTTTCTATGAGGGGTGTAGCCCATTTGGCCGCCGAGCCTTTCAACAAACTTATCACAAAAGCCACTCTTGTTTGATCTGTAGGAAATTCTCTCGGTCTGCCGTCCATGAACAATTCACACTGTGCTAGGAATGTTCTCATCTGTTCCACCTCACCTCCGTACTTCTCTGGCATGCTACCAGGCAACACTGGTGGCTGTGCTGGTGGTGGCTGCTGGGCCCCCAGTCCCACCTGCTGCATCAGTTGCCCCATTGCTGTCTGCAGGTTATTAATCTGTGCATCCACTTGCTGATGATGCTGGAGGAGCGCAGCTGCTAACATTTGAGGGGTCAAATTAGCTCCCTGTGGATCTGTAGC